CATATCTTGTCCTCGAACTGTCGTTTAGTAACATTTGCTGAGCTTCATTTCAGGTTTGCGGCCTCGGGTTGATAGTTGGTGGCACCGTATTGCAGCTGAAGTACGAAGGTTTACTGGACATTCTGGGTGACAGCCGATTAGCAACTTCGGTATGGTTCCTGATTGCTGGAGCACTATGTGCCTCTCTGGGTTTTTTGGGATGCTGTGGAGCGATACGAGAAAATTACTGCCTTACTCTTACTTTCGCAATTCTGTTGTCGTTGTTACTCTTGCTGGAAACTGCTACTGCTATTGCAGCCTACGCACTACATCAACCACTAGAGGTTAATTTCCCAAAAAAATTGTTACTTCTCGAAATTTTTACTAAATTTAAACATTTATATATTTTGTTTCTTGCTACTTCTTTTTCTCAGAACAGTAGCTATTAAGAGAAAACAACTCTTTCTTGTTTGGTGCCGAAAAAATCAATTCAGACTTTGGCTCCGCAGATGAGATTGTGCGATATGACATTAGATTTTAGAAAGCATGTGAAGTTTTCTAACAAAGACTTACAAGCTTTAGAAATCTTTAAAAGCCAAAGAAAATTTTCTCCTCACTAAGATCAAAAAATAAAATTAAAAGCAGAAATGCAATTACACAATTTAAGGAGCAAATAATCACATCCGTTGCCTAGACTTTTGGCATTCAATGTCAGTAAACTAATCTGCCTTTTACCATAAGTCCTAATCATCGCAAAACTAGAAAACGAGACCCCTTAACCACATTGGACTGTTCTTCCAGCTTCCTTCTATTCATATTTTTTGTGGAACTTCCTTCTTTACTTGATCTGAATTCTGTAGCACTAAATTTGACTAACATTATGGAAAAACGCACTCAAACCAAGCGGCAAATTTAACACGCTTTCACTTTAACGACATGAACTAAACAGTCCAAAGAGGAGTAATATTCTGAAGCTCCTACCAATTTAAGCTGGACATTTCTTTTAAGGTCAATTTCTAATTAACAGAACTAAATCTCAAACTCCACAAATAATATCATCCGACACCAGTCCCGCTAATTACGAGGCCCCATCTTCATAACAAGTCTCAAAAGCAGTTCACTTGATATTTACCAAAGCCCATTGTCTTTAAGTTCTAAACAAACAACAGCACTACTTAATAGCACATATCTAAAAAGTAAAAATGAGACCACTTTTCCTTCCAACAATTTATTCTCGTCCCTTGCAAACCAAATCATTCAGTTAGTAGATTTTGCTAAAAACATAAAAAGGCCTTATAAAATTACTTATTAATTGGATTTTAACCCATACATATCTTCTACACGCAATAGAAAGAATGAAACTATTTTCTAAAATGTATTTCAAAATGAACATGTAAAATTTTAAGCTCCTTGAACTGACAAACTTATTCTGAAGTTCACCACTACTAGATTCTTTTCTCATCCGCCTTATGATAAAATAACTTCAATTCTACTCAGCAAAAGTGTATCAGCTTTCAGCAGTCAATGTCACACCAACTAAGGCTAGGCCTTCCCAGATATAATAAAACTGGATTCGCAGGTGTAACAGCAGCATGGGATCAAGTTCAACGGCAATTCAGTTGTTGTGGTGTTTATAACTCATCTGACTGGAGTGTTGCCAATATTCCCGACCCTCCGGATTCGTGCTGCATTGACTACAAACCAGGATGTGGCAAAAAAAGACACAATCTGCAATCATCAGGTCTTTTTTCAACCGAGTTTTAATTCACTATAACAGAGGACATCAAGCTCAACAAAAAACAGCGCTTAGTGCACTATCTAAGAAAAAGAATGTGAAGCAAGGCTAGAGGGCGAGAAATGACAGTGGATATACAACAATAGAAAGGATCAAAAGCGGAAAAACTGCTCCGGAAGCGAAGTTTTTGAGTGTTAGAGCAGAGATTCCAGTCCCTGCAGCTTAAATCTCAGAAAATCCAATCACTTTTACATGTAAAATTCCAAAGTAACGTAAATCTAAATTCCCAAGAAATATTTCTGCGATAATTTCAGTAATCCAGGTAAGTGACAAATGTACAGGAAAGAAGGTCCTCTTTAACAGTTATATCAGTAAATTAGAATGCCCTAACAAAAATTAAAATTTGAAAAAAAATTCAATTTCTCTCACGTATTACTTGCTATTACTTTCAGGCTGCATGGAAAAGGTCGAAGAGTGGCTAATGATGAACGCTGCAATTATTGGTGGGATCAGTGCTGTCGTCGGATCAATACAAATTATTGGAATTTGTTTCGCATGTTGCTTATCAAAAAGCATCCTTAAAGAGTACCATGAATTTTATTATTAGTATAATTAAGCGAGACTAAACGTCTGATAAATTTAGAAGCCATAATTGAAATAAAAGATCATGATATCATCACCCCTAAATCTGCCTTACTGTATTATTTTGAATGATATGGTAAAATAAATAAAACACTTTGAGTCCTGTCTTACAAGCTTTAAGAGCTGTCACATGAATCGGGTTCCATTTTTATCAGCCTTTAAGCAGTAAAGGAACGTCCAGAAACAGACTAGTAAGTTTAAAATATCACAACGATTGATCGTCAAGCACAAAAATGTGTCAGTCAAAAGTCGCGTACAATTCAAAAGTTAACTTTAAAACCCTCAAAGAAAATACCAATTCAGGTCACTTAATTCAATAAACTACTATTCAAAACAAAAGAACAGATATCCACATTATTTTTTATCTACGCCCTTCTACTGAAAGACTACAGCCTTTTCATTTTTAAGGTGGATATAATAAAGCTTATCAAACAACCAAGGAGAAATTCAATCGTCACCAGAAAAAACTATTTTTTTGGATAATGGAGTAGCCTTAGACCTCTCTAGCAATTCCCGTTGTCGCCTTTTCGCAACCCACGATGGATGTAAAAGTCCTGCTGTAGCGGTCAAATGGCCTTAAAAAATAGTCCTAAATGTTCCGACTGCAATCTCAAAACTTTTTAAAAGCAGAATAACTATTGTAAAACCTGAAGCTACTCCAGAACTTGCACTAGGTTCGCCTCCTGAATCTTCTTCACCTTTACAGCTACTCTTGTCAAGTCCACTTCCTTTAAAACCCTTTAAGAAGCTGTCACCAGTGCGCTTTCGCCGACGAAAGCCGGCAAACTCTTCTTCTTCTTTATCGATCTCTTGACCATTATTTCGAGACATTTCAAAATCTTGAAAATTTTTAGAATCAAAACCGTACCAGCAAAAAAAAGCAAGAACAAAATTTTACATATAATAAACAATAAACTCAAAAAGTACCTGCGGGCAGAAAAAAAGAGCTTGAATGAGCCTTATTGTTTCTTTTAATAATATTTCGGACAACAACGTTTGACGTTCCCGCATCGACTGTACCCTGTTTTAAATCTAATTTTTTGATAATGCCCTGAAACTAAGAAATTTTAAAGTAATAAAATGATAAGCAATACAGCAGATACTAGCATATCACTTCTAGCATATTACTAAAAAGCATCTACCGTCGAGAAACAAAAAAATAAAGTTTTGAAATCTGATAAGGATAAGAGAACAAGGATTACAAGACATGGAGGAAAAACTAAAAAGTCGTGACGAGATGCATCGTAAGGACTTAACTGTCCACCACTTACTTGTCCTGTCTTTATGAGCCCGAGTTGTAAGCGCAACTTAGAGGATAAGGGAAAGGCAGTTTTCTCTTTCAACCCACTAGTTTCTTCGCCGATTAACTTCCTCTCCTCAGTTGATTTTGCATCTTCATCGACAAATATCTTCTTTGCTGCATAATTTCCACTCTGATTCGCTACAGTTTGATCCAAAAAAGACCTTCTTGTGGACTTTTCCTTCAGTTCATGAGCTGTTTTATTCAGCATTTTTTTAATCTCTGGCTTATCTTCCTTTGAATTTACAAAAATTAAAAAAACGGAAAATCAGAGAACTGTGGCAAGTTTTTCTACAGTAAAGCGTAATTACGAACTAGCAGGATAGCAGTTGAACCCCGGATATCTTCTGCCTTGTCCAGTTTTTTGCGTTGGTACTGTAATCCAAGTCGTTGTAACAAAAAAGGTACTTCAACTTCCCAACAAGAGTACTTTTTTCGAAACTTCTCGACAGAAGCAGTCACAATGTCCATAACAGCCATCTTATAGAGTGCACGTTCCGAAGCAGATGAATCCTGAAAGAAAAAAGATTTGAATTAAGAAGTACAAATTCAACTACTGAAAAAGCAACATTACCTGCAAAGGCAATTCCTTCAAAACTTTTCTGTTGACCAAAGCAAATTTTGTTACATCGTCTTTATTAATACCCTAAAATCTACCAAGTCACTGGAAATGTAACACTATCTGTCAGTCATTTTCTACCTATTTAGTGTTTTGGAACCCTATTCATAAAAACAAATATTTTTCTTAAAAAACGAAAAAAAATGAGAAGTATTACACAAATGATACCTTCAGAGCCTTCAACTCCTCCACAATCCTTCCCACTTTTTTCCTCTTTTTATTATTCGTTGACCTCCCATACACTCGGCACAAATTTATTAATTTACGACTAAGACGAAGACGCGCCTTAACAACAACCTCCCGCATACCAACAATCTTAAAAATTAACCATTTAAGAACAAGAAAGAGATAACGAAAACAGATAAAAAACCTTGAGGTTACCCAAAATTTAAATCACAGATCTTTTTTAATATTCAATAGTGATGCTGCAGCAATCGTTGTTCGCTAAAGAACGATCTAAAAGACATGTATCATAATTTTCTAATGCTTAAGCTTATACTTCCAAATCCCCATAAAACCAGTATACAAAATTCCTACGCTTTCTAGATGTTTTCACACGCCCTCTGAATTTGCTCAAAGTTCTGTAATTAAAACGCAAAAAATGCTGCAGCTTCCTTTAATTTTAAAAACAATCAGGAATCAATGTTCTATCTCCAATGCCAAAGAAACAAATTTGAGTAATCTCCACAGACCTCCTCATTCAAAAGTTTTGCAGAAAGTTCCGGCATTACTGCATCCAAACAATGATATCTTTTTTGTTTCTAAAATTGTTCACTTTTAAAAGCATACTTACGAAAATATAACTACTTATAAGACTGACGGATGTAAATCAAAGGACAGTTCGCGACAAAAATAGTAAATTAATAGGTCGAAGCGTGAGCAGTGAGCAGAAGTTTACTTAAAAGACGCCAAAGAACGTTACTGAAAAATACACTACAAAAATTTTTCATAAATATCAATTCAGCAGAATTCAATCAAACGCACAAGGAGTGGCAATATAAACAGTACAGTTTATACTCAGCGCCTGCCCGAATTACGCATTTCCAGGATGGCAGAGTGATCTACAGGATCCTAACATCAGAGGTTCTGTACGAATTTCAAAACCGGAGCTTCTGGCGGGTAGCCACACCATCCAACACGTCTTCTCTGATACTCAGTTCCACTGCAGAAGTTTCTTGCGCAGCGCTAAGCTAAATTAACCTACCAAAAAGTAACTAAGATAAGGCTTCTTCTCTTAATTTTCAATCGTCCTTAACAGCTTTGACTTCAATTTTTTGAAAATTGAGGTCACAAAATACATCAATTATCTATTAGAACATGTGCCTTTGGAAAATTATTTTTCTACTAAACTACAAGAGTTAGAACGAAATTTCAGTATTAAACCAATAAATAGCCGTTAAAGAATCTGAAGAAGTCTTAAGTTCCCAAGGGTGAACCAAACGGATCGAGGACCCCACATACAAAAAATGATAACAGGTCAACTATAGTGTTGCAGTTAGTTGGAGTAATGCCCTCTTCGTACACTCCTCGGTAAGGCCAGCATCACTTTCCCGTTGAAATACCTACCGATCCAACAGCCCTATTAGATAAGACAAGTATGCAGGAAACAGCAAGCAAAGTGCCTTGCCTCAGTTGAAAATTGGCACCTCCTTCATAAAATTTGGGGTACTTGGAACCAGACAGTCATCAGTTTCAAAATTATCTGAAGCATTAAAAAGATACATGCTTTCCTGGGGTCCTCAATTTAGTTTCAGCCAAACAGCCAAGAAATGCTTTGAACTTTTAAAGATGCTTCTGGGTTTCTATCGCGTGCCATTTTCCCTTTGTTCGGTTGACTGTTTTATTGTCCTCTTCTAAATGGCTGTTGACGGCTTCTGATCCTGGCTTTGAAAATGTCAAAAGGAACTCTTCATTCACCTTAAAAAACATTAGAGTACAAAAATTTCAACCCCTCTTAACGACACCTCCATTTAGTGATTCGTTGTACAGCGAATTCGCTTATGAGCAGCTGACCGTTTTGTTTGCTCAACAAAAGAAATTTAGTGCGCATGGTGGTTTCACTGACAGACGGTCACTTATCAGTTTTTCCTTTTGGTTTATGTGAGACCTCTCAGAAGTTTCAGAACGTCGAATACTTTCAAGAAATGGCAAAAAAAATCCTTTTGAATATAACTAAAGTTAAAAAAAATTTATCCCTAGAAATGGAAACAGCGATTGAAAAATTAAAAATGCTTCGCTTTGTGAGGAAATCCAACCTTTGACTTACAGAGACTACTTACACGTTCAAAGAGGAAACTTCAGTTTGCTTATTTTCCTTTCTATACTTCAGTTTCTTTAATAGTCGGGAGAGGCGGAACATGCAAAAACTGGAAAAAATCCACTGGTAAAAAACTTCTGTGCCACTTAAAAAAAAGAAAATTCCACACGTTTTTGGAACATACATTACGCACTTTATGTACACATGCACAGTTCCCAGTAACTAAAGGATACGTTTATTAAATATAATTTTAGAATTTTAACTAAAAATAGAAACTAAGTACTTACAAAAATGTTGTCAAAAAAAGCTTCAATTATTAGCGCTCTTTTCGACAACGAGAAACTTTCCTTCCTCCCTCTACTTTCTCCCCCCCTCCCCCACGATTCAAATAAAAAAAGGACGGTGCTACCGGACGGGAACTCCTAAACATAAAAAACGGACCTCCGCAGTATTATTGAAATTGATTACCAAAAATTAAATTTGACCCCCTAACAAACCAAATCAATAATTTAACAGCTTATCCGGCCGCTCTTCCACAACATCCGGGAGAAAAACTGACGTTTAAAAAACTCTGGGTGGTATTTCAGAAATGAGTATAAACGGAGAATAAAAGCGATGAACCGATTTAAAACAGCAGGTAAAGAAGAAATTCACCGTTTTTTGACGATCAACTTCAACAACTACCAAAAGACACATCACAGGACCCACCTCCTCTATTAACAGCTCTTGACTAGAATATTAACCTCCTTGTACCTTAAATTTACACCTCTTGAAAATTTAAAAGGATCTTTGATCCATCCTTACTCTTACAAGCTTCGCACCGACCCAAACAGCAGTCCAAGTAGATAAGCAAAAAAAGCGTAAAAACTGTTCTCCAACACCTTAGTTGTTGACAGCTATACTGCCAGAACGCTGCAGGTGGTACGCCCGAAGTTATTACAATTCAAAAGAAATCAAGAACCGAGGAAAACGAGCACTCCAGGCAGGAAGAGAAAAATTATGAAAATTGCAAACCCAATACCATTTCTGTTTTTTTTCAATAAATACTACGATTCTACTATATATATCATATTATTCAATAAGACTTGTCTCCATCAGAGCTACCAAGAGCTATATGTTCAGCAGCCTTAAATTTCAAAAAGGGTAACATCCACGAGTCAGTTTGCAAGATGTTTAAGCACGAAAAAGACACACAAAAACTGGTTTAAAAGGCATAAATCAGGAACCCATATTTTCTAGGGATTGGTATTTGAAGCTCAATTTTGGTTTTAGTCAATTTTTGACCAGACGACTGAAAAAAGTGATCTCAGTAACTGCTAAGTTTTTTGTCTGCTCTTTTTACAGCTTCCTCAATGCCCAGCGAATAGAGCTGACGCATTTTTTTTTTCTAATTCATGAACTTCCTGCACATAGTGCATCTCTTGGAGAAACAATGCAGACTTCTTTTTCTTGTCGTTGGTAGCTCTGGCTCACGCTGTCTCTCCAACCAAAGCGAACTCAAGTTGTAGGAAGTAATTTTGGTGAGGCCTACCTCGGAGAACGCAAAGCCGTTCACTTTTCACAGCACACCTTTGGAAGAACGGTAGAGAAATGACTGCGTAGCAGACAAACTCGCGAACTCATTTCAATAACTCCACGGCTTTTGGCTTGCTTATAGCATCGCTTAATTTTAACGACACTGTCATGCGGTGAGATGTGGAAGCAAACTAATTGACTCCTGTTTTAACATATGCGAAACTCCTTTATATACGAATAAGACTCCTCAAGAATAATAATAACACTTTAAAGGTCTCGACCAGGAAGGAAATGTTGCCTATTTATTCGTAGCAAGCTTTAGGTTATGTTTTTTCATCTGGGCGTCATCTTGCTAAACGATTGAAAACAGGGTTTCATCAAAAAAATTTATGTACTTAACAATCCTGGTCCAGAACCTAAAGCTCTGCTTTTCGAAAGACGTCTACATTTTTATAAGAAAAGCCCGGAGTTATTTCAAGCAGTGTTTCTTTGGTGAATATACAAAGGTGAAAATGGATATTTCAAACGAAGAATGCCCCACGCCTTGATACTCTAGCTTGCTATCCAAAATAAGACGTTTCTGTGAAAACTAAAGATCAGGTTTTTCCTAGTACGGGTGTCGGCGTCGTTCCAAAGAACGTGAAAAAGTAGCAATAAAAAACCGACAAAAGAAAAATAACACACAAATAGTACATCGTAAGTATCTGGTAAATAATTTAGCAGTTTCTCCATGCAAAGTTTCAGGCAAAAGTAGCCCAACTGCAGAGGTCTGAGCTGCGGTAGCTGCAGACGAGAGTAGAAAAAACTGAAACTTGTGCAGGCAGAACTCAATAGCAAATGCAGGAAATGGGAAAAAGTTTTCGGCATTGTGTCCGTTCTCCCTGACCAGACTCTCCCTTTCTCCGAGGATGATACGGACAGTCTTGCACCTGGCGCTGCCTCAGAAAACGAATGACCTACGTATTTCCTTCCGTAGGAGATATTACAAGAAAAAAAAAAAAAAAAAAA